TATTATCATTATTATTATTATTATTAATATTATTATTATTATTATTATTATTATTATTATTATTATTATTATTATATTACAACTATTATTGTCAACGATACCATCATCTCAGTTAATGAGAGTGTATGGTATAAAGAGAAAGTAGTGGTATAAGAGACTGAAATGGAAGACAATGAAAACAAAAGGCAAATGATATATAGGGTGAAAAGGGAACACAAAACTTCTATGATAATTTGAATTTATTTCTATTTAATGTATATGCAGTCTTAAATGTTACAATGCAAAATCAAACAGACAGACATTTTTTAAGTAGATATAGTATTTTACAAGTTTTTTGTCATCACATGAAATCACAATAGATCTGAGTAAATGATGAGTACATGTGTAGAGAGCACATGTGTGGAAAAAGGGTAATTACATGTTGGTGACATTTTAAATAAATAGTAGATGACCGGTGAGTAAGATTTAGAAAGCAAATCTTTCTATATGTGCCTTTTTATTTTTTACATAGTTGATGACTAATATATCTTGTATGTACACCTGTAATTTGTAATTTTTATTCAATCAATGCTAACATGTTAAATAATGCAGATTTCTTAATCAGTATATTATACATACAAGATAATGGTCTGATTTAATCATTTTTTAAAGATCATACATTAAAAGAACAACTGATTATTACCAACAGTGCTTTTGCGACAAAAATTTAGTTATATGGTTGTATTTTTACATCCTTTTCCCACAAAAATTCATGATAGCTCTCTATACACAGAGGCAATGAAATGTTTTTGGCAAAAGCAATCCAAGACTGACGTATATACAGAGAATCAAGTAAAACTATGTAATGTATTACAATAAGAAATAATCATTTGTACATAATATTCAATTACACTCTCGACGGCAATCGTGACTTAATGAATTCTTCAAAGATTTTAAAATTTGGATATGCTAAAGTTCTTTTGATCCTAATAAATTGCCGATATTTCACGAGTACGTGTATGAAAATATTTTTATCCTTGTCTATAATTAAGGTTTCAGTTTGCAGCATAAAATTTGATGTCCTATATTGATAGTTCTGCATAATAATGTGAGATGCCTGACGAGAGTGAAGTCAAGTGGTTAATGCGATAAAATGTAATTATCATTATCAATTACATGATTTCAGATATCATGAATATCTTGTAGTGAACAACTCCTCTCCTAATATTATGGAATTATTGATATTCTAATTTTAATCACAAGTTAGGTGCCTTATAATATAATATTCATTAAACTTTTTTATCCTATCAGGTACACAGTATTTTAATAGAGACACGTAACATTGTTGAATGTTTCACACAATTTAAACAATTTATTGTATTTCTGATATAGTTGTGCATATATGTAATATAATCAAACATTATTAGTTGCATCATTTCTTTAAATTATATAATTTTCATAAGTTTTTATGTACTTTAATACTAGTACATTAAGGCATTTTTAACAAATGCTTAATATGCTTTATATGATGTTTAATTTATATTAAATTGCATGCTTTTCGCGTGTGTATATATTCTAATATATACCAAATAGTACAAAATTAATTCAAACTATAGTGCACATTTGAATATACAGTAGTAATAATTAATATATTTTAAATTAATGCTTTTTACTTATAACTATACATTATCCAATTTATATTGCAGTTATTTTAATCGACGCATTAAAATATGTAATTATGTAAAATTGTTGAAAAACGGAAACGAAATAACGTCAATTAGATGTATGAAAATGTTATTGAGTTTAATTATAAAACTTTGTGCAATATTTCAATTCATAAAACTTACATACTAACATTTAATTTGTAATGATTCGTAATTTTATTGAAAATACATTATTTTCTTTTATTTATAGATAATATACATATATAAAAATTACAAAAAAGGTAAGTTAAATTAAAAATATATTGTAAAATTAATAACAAAATAAAACGCCAAAAGTATATATATTTATTAAATAATATGTTAAATAATTAAAAACATTAAATGCAAGCAAAGATTATTATAAAGAATTTAAGATTTACAATTATTCTTTTGAATATTATTATTATTATTATTATTAGTATTAGTATTAGTATTAGTATTATTGTTGTTGTTGTTCTTGTTGTTGTTATTAATTATCAGATTTTAAGAAACGTATATAAGAATATAGTCTACATACATATTTTCCAACGATGTGTGTATATAGCATATGTAATTCTCAATACTATGTGTGATGCATGTGTATGCAATACATTGTTAGATTTGTGATATGCATGAATGTTCTTGTTTGTACACAATTTTTATTATGTACAATTTAGTGCGTTAGTATATGAAATAATATGATTTCACAGATGACTAAACAGTATATAGTAAACAAAATGAATGATACTAGAAAAGATGATTTTTATGAGGTAGAAAAATGTGGTAAATGGATCGATACGCATAATTTAAACAAGGTTTGAATATTTTATCTCTGATAATTGTTTGATTGATTTGAAGTGTATGCTTATATTTCGTTAAAAGATTCAATATTTTATTTTATTTTGTTTCTTCAATAAATTAAAAAACAATTTGGAGGTTAAATATAACTACTACTACATTGATATAATTTAATATTTCATAAATAATCTATATTTGAGAGTAATCAAATTTATAGTTATAATTATATAATAGATAATCGATTTAATAGATATTATATATTTTTAGGTTTGTCTACAATTTCCTGATAACCTTTTACCAGATTCAGTAGAAATTGCATTACGTTTGGAAAGTCATATTAACAAAAAAGTATATATTTTGGGAGATACTTCTTGTGGGAGTTGTTGTGTTGATGAAATAGCTGCTCAACACATTAATGCAGATAGTATAATACATTTTGGTCATGCTTGTTTGAATCCTACTATGCGTTTACCTGTATTTCATGTATTACCAAAACAAGAGATTGATATAAAAGAAGTTATTAATAGATTTAAATTACATTATGTGAATCAATTTGAAAGAATCTTATTTTTTTATGATGTTGCTTATGCACATAAAATTGGTATGTTTTTTAATTAAATTCTAAGTTTATCTTAAAACTTCATTTAACATATTTAATTGCTCCCATAAATATGTTTCTGTTTCAGAGAATATATATAAAATATTAAATCCTATATATAAAAATTTAATTTTTACTTCATTAAATTGTATTTCTAATGTGGAATTCACAGATGTTAAAAATAATTCATCTACAATAATCTTAGGCAGATGTTTTAAATTAGATAAGAAATATAAAATAGAAGATTACATAGCGTTTTTCTTGGGAGATGATGGAAAGACATTTACTACCTTAGCAATGACAATTCCTGCAAAAAAATGGTACTATTTTGAAAATAATAATATTATTGAATATGACATTTTAAATACATCATGGTTAAAAAGAAGGAGATACATAGTTGAGAAATTAAAAGATGCCAAAGTAGTTGCTATAGTTGTAGCAACTTTAGGTATTAAAGATTATCTTAAAGTAATAACAATGATTAAACATATTCTAAAAGAAAAAAAGAAAAAATCTTATATTTTAAGTGTTGGTAAAATAAATCCAACAAAGCTTGCTAATTTTCCTGAGGTATGTTAGATGCTATTTTTTAAAATATTAGTTAAATTGTTAGTATTAACAACAATATATTGTATTTTTACAGATCGATGCTTTTGTTGTAATAACATGTCCTGAAAATGAAATATTTGATTCTAGAGAATTCTTAAAACCAATTGTAATGCCTTATGAAGTAGAATTGGCATTTAATAGTTCAAGAGAATGTTATACACAATATTGTATGGATTTTAGACAGATACTTCCTGGAGGAATGAATTATATTGATTTCAAAGCATCTACAGATTCAGATGTTTCCTTAATTACTGGTGAACTTAGAAACTTTGATGAAAATGTTCCATGCACAGACAAAATGAGTGATTTAGTAATTAATAATTCATCAGGTATTTAAATGTAAAAAATATCAGTAAGTAAAAATTAAATACATTTTGTTTAATATTATTCTTTTAACCTACATAGGTGTTATTGCAATTGGAAAAGCAGGAGCAGAATTTTTACAAAATAGATCATGGAAAGGAATTGAACAAAGATTAGGCAAAGATGCAGTGCATTCAGCAGAAATTGGTCGCTGTGGTTTACCAAATTGTTATGAAAATGAACCTATTTCTATTAAAAAAAATAATGAATAAATACAATAAATATAATAATTGCTACAATGTAGTACAGCGATTTTTTTTTAAAAAGAAGTTTGTTTAAAACATAGTTTTTAATTCTTGTAAATGTTCTTTACATGATATAATTAGAATTTTTTAATTTATTAATTTCTGTATATTGTACTATATTTTACTGTAATTTAGAAAAATTGAATACTGTTAATTTGTCCTTCACAAATTGATTATCTATTTTTTACTAAAACACATGTTCGATGCGTGACGTAAGCACATAACGAGATATCGAAATAGTCTGAATCAGCTGTCACTGCAATGTTAAACATAACCAGAGGAATGTATATTTAAGTCTCGAAAATATTTTAAATATGAATTTTTACTCGATTAATAATAAACTTCTATGTAAAAGTTTTGCAATTTATATTATATTTTTCGTTTTTGGTGTGTGGACCGTAGTATCATATGCACAAGAAACTTCTAACCTCAAACATGAAGATGTCACATCGAACGTTAAAAATACCGTATTAAAAGATTTCCTGTTGACAAACTTGAGTACCGATATACCTGTAGAATTACATACATTAGAACATTCTGACAATAATAATTTGAAATTAAATGTCACTTCAAGTGTAGTAAATACATTTCGAAATGTATCTACAACTACAGCTCGGTCAGATCGTGATATTAATAATCAAACAACAGAAAAAACTAATGCATTATTTACAAGCATTATTAATGATAAAAATGGAAACAATATGTCAGACTTCACAATTCCATCACAAAGTTCAGACATTAGCAATACAACAAACACAAGTACAACAACAGTTGTACCAGCAGAACCAGTATTACCTGATAAAGGATCTGCAGAGGAAGAACATAATAGTTCTATGTCCATATTTTTTGTCCTCTGTGTTTTAGCTTTAGGCATTTTACTTATACATCTTATGTTACAAACAAATTTTCAATATCTTCCAGAGTCAGTAGTAATTGTTTTTTTGGGTGGAGCTATTGGTATGATTATAAATCTTATGTCAAATCAAAATATAGCTAATTGGAGAAAAGAGGAAGCCTTTTCTCCAACAGCATTTTTTCTTGTACTCCTTCCACCCATCATATTTGAATCAGGATATAATTTGCACAAAGGAAATTTCTTTCAAAATATTGGTAGTATTTTAGTTTTTGCTATATTTGGTACAGCAATATCTGCGTTTGTCATTGGAGCTGGAATTTATTTGTTGGGATTAGCTCAGGTAGCATATAAACTTAGTTTTGTTGAAAGTTTTGCATTTGGATCATTGATATCGGCAGTAGATCCTGTTGCTACTGTAGCTATATTTCATGCCTTAGAAGTAGATCCAGTATTAAACATGTTAGTTTTTGGTGAATCTATTTTAAATGATGCCATTTCTATTGTATTAACTACATCTGTATTGGAATCCAATAATGCAACGACTACTAGTGAAGCTATTATACTTGGCTTAAATAGATTTTGTCTCATGTTTTTTGCCTCTGCTGGTATTGGAGTTGTATTTGCTCTTATAAGTGCATTATTACTTAAACATGTGGATCTCAGAAAAAATCCTTCTCTTGAATTTGGACTTATGTTGGTATTTACTTATGCACCTTATGTTCTGGCAGAAGGCATACAATTATCTGGTATGAATATGAATTTTTAAATATAGCAACATAAATAAATAATTTGATACTTAAATATAACAAATTGTTTCAGGTATTATGGCGATTTTATTTAATGGAATTGTAATGTCACATTACACACATTTTAATTTATCAACTGTTACTCAAATTACAATGCAACAAACTATGAGAACGCTAGCATTTATTGCTGAAACTTGTGTATTTGCATACTTAGGATTAGCTTTGTTTAGTTTCAGACATAGGGTAAAATAATATAACATAAAATGTACATTCAATTTCTGTAATATATTTTATATTGACAATAATTATTAATTATAGGTTGAACCAGCATTGATTATATGGTCTATAATTCTATGTTTAATTGGTAGAGCTACAAATATCTTTCCTTTAGCATTTCTTGTAAATCGTTTTCGAGAACACCAGATTACTAGAAAAATGATGTTCATAATGTGGTTTAGTGGTCTACGTGGTGCTATTTCTTATGCTTTATCATTGCACTTGGACTTTAGTGATGAAACACGACATGTGATTATAACCACTACACTAATTATTGTACTATTTACTACATTAATATTTGGTGGTTCTACTATGCCATTATTGAAATTCTTAAGAGCAGAAAAGAAACAAAAAAGTAACAGCAGAAGGAAAAGGAAAGATAAAGAAGTTTCACTAAGTAAAACTAGAGAATGGGTATGTTTTATACATATACGAATTTTGTATGAAAAAGTATATGTATTTTATTTATTATATTTTTTTTTTCTAGGGACAAACAATAGATTCAGAACATTTGTCAGAACTTACAGAAGAAGAGATTGAAGTATCTTTTCTTCAATCTCGTATTCGTGGTTTTGCAAGATGGGATCTAAAATTCTTTATTCCATTCTTCACAAGGAGATTTACACAACAAGAATTAAAAGATTGTAAATCTCAAATGACAGATTTAACAAATCAGTGGTATCAAGCTATTCGAATTAGTCCAATAGAATCAGATGATGAAGTAACAACTGCATCAACAGCACAATTAAATATAAATTTATCAGTAGAAAGTCAGAATCAAATACATGGAAAGCAAAGCAAAAGACGTCCAAGTCACGGGTCTATATTAAGTATATAATTTATTTTGTGTGATGTGCTAAATGTGCTGTCATTGCTCTGCTTATATTGTGAATGTGTATAAACTTATATTGATAATAACGTCCATTATGATTTAACAAAAGTATTTTGTGTGATTATGAGAATAGTTTTAATTTTTCTCTGTATAATATTTTGTATGTATTTTTAAAATTGAAGATTGTGATCCATTTTTTCTAATTTATAATGCAATGAAATAATATTCTTCATGACAATAAGGTATTGTTTCAAAAGAAAATTATAATATTAATACAAAAATTATTATTTATTAGCTGCAGAGAATAGCTTATGATTGTTATATAGTTATAAACATTTAGTGGTGAAGATCATGTAGCATCTAAACATTTGCTTTGCTGTCAAAGCTTATTGTTGGTGAGGGGCTGTATTTGATACGCATTAAGATTTTGAAGTATTAATAAATTTGCAATTGATTTACAGAGAGGACGAGGATTGGTCTGATCAATGATCAAGTAAATTTATGAATTATTTCATGAGTTAAAAATATTGTTGTACCAAAAACATGCTTTATATGCAATCATTATATAATAGAGAATAACATTATTAATATTGGACTTGTATAGAAATGACAAGTTCCTATACTTTATTAATAATAATATAGTTGATCACATTTAAAATATTGTATATTATACTTTTAGAAATCTCTATTTAATATTATATATAATAAATAAGAAAAAAATATTATTTAATTTACGTTGATTTAATTAGCTATGATTAAATAACATGATGTAATGAAGAGGTATGTGATATTTTGAAAAATATTTAAATCACTGCACAAAGAAATTACGTACATCATAAAGTGCATATCTTGCATTATACTGCATATCGTGCGAAATAAATACTTATATAAATTATGAAATTCATATGGCACTAAATATATATACTTATTAGAAAGTATAAACTTAATTTCGTAAAAATATAGAATACTGTGAGATATATACACCTAAATTATTTAATGTATAAATAAGTTTAATGATTTAAATCCGTTTAAATTATTGATATTTTATGAATTTTATAAAGGATTTTTTTATCTACATACATATATCATACATAAAATTCTACCATAATAAGGTATTTATATATTTTTTTTAATTGTAAGAATTTACAATAATTGATGTTATTAATATTATTTGTTTGCTATTAATTATATTATTTATAAATACCCTATTATGTTATTAAAATATCGATGTATAAAATGATTATATTTTATACATATGATGTGACCACAGTATTGTATTTTAATTTGTATGATATAAAAGATATATTTCCATCTGGATATTTTTTTATGATAATACTAAAATATTCCCTTTTTTCCGAAAAGTTTTAAATTTTGATACTTACAGTAATATACCAAATTTTTCTTTTTAGTTTCTTTTATGTCATACTAATTATGAATTACGATGTGTGAATATTTTCCTATTGCAATGTTTTATTTATTTAATAAATTTGATTATTATAATATAGTTACATCAAATAGCAGCATGTAATTTATCGAAAAAATATGCTAGAAAAAAATATTTTCAATAGTAATTTATAATTTTAATAGTAGAAATTTTATATAATACACAAGGATATTGATAACATGAATATAGATAATACGAATTATATAGTTTATATAATAAACCATTAATTCTGAAGATGTTCTTTTATTATCTTCAAAGGCTACGTGGAGTTAAAAGAAAAAGTACAGTTAAGTTTATTTTAATGTGAATTTATTTTTAATATCATATACCGATCTCGGGAGTGGGTACATGGGTCTGTTATTTTACTTTTCTGCGGCAGGGCACATAACGGAGGCAGCGTCTAAACATCAAATCCGTTTATTTGTTTGACTTGTTATCTCTACTTTATTAGGTCTACGTTTTTTATGCCTCATCTGGTCGTACATCGATTGACTGGAGCATGAGGCATATTGGTTTTTGGAAACAATTTGCTGCAATTTTCTTATACCATTTTTATAATTGATCTCTCACGGTATTTCCTTTCGATCACGAAGATATAAAGTGCAGTGATATAGATGTAAACGTATATAGAAAAAAGTTGTTTTGATTTTGTAATACGCTTTCTTTTTCTTCATATTTTCATATCAGTGCAAAAACATATCGGACATAGGAAATACAGCCATAAATGTTGCATAAAATTTAATTCAATGTAAAATATTTTTAGTATGATTGAAATCCGTAAGATAAGCAAAACTTGTACCATTATTCTTTATAAGGGACACACTTTCTCCTTTTATATCATTTAGGTTTTTATACGTATATTTGTATTTGATATTACGACAATTTAAATTCTATTTACCCAACGTTAGTACGAGGATAAATATTAATATCCTTTTTATTAATAACGGAGTATTGTCTAAAGCATGGCAGAACACACTTGCCTCCCTTTTTGCCAATGCTCCAGTCAGTTTAATTATACATATTTTCTGTTCAAATATTATTCTCGTATTGGATTATCACCCAATAAAATTCTAAAACGGATCTTCACATATCATGAACTTCTATATGCATTGTTATCAATAGTTATATCCTTATTAATGCTCAGTACAGTACATGTGTGTATGTACAACATCGAGCAATCGACTAAGCATGCAGAGTTAAATAATCCTACAATGCTACGACCAGTATGCCTATATATCAATTCGTAAAACAATATCATACCCCGATTGTATCCATTTATTACAGAAAATGTTCCAAGGGATTATAATTTGACTAAGTGGTCATTATACGTCGTGCATAATCCATTGGAGTAAGTTCTCAAGCACTTTTCTAAACTTATCGAAGTTTTGTAATGTAGACACTTCGGTCTAAAAATGTGTAAAATCCCCAATTACATTTCAATATTTACAATATCTCATAAATACGTGTTAGACACGCCACGATTTACATAATATAACTTCGTGTTCATTTGAAATTCATTTTTTTTTTATTTTTTCTTCTTTTTTTTTTATTTTATCAAACGTCAGATTTCCATTCCTAATCGACGTCTGTCGATTCACGTTCGTCAACATTGTAATATTACAAAAAATCACATATCGTATTTTCCATTTACACACATTTCCTTGGTACTGATATTGTTCGTTCCTCCTCGGTGCGTTAATAGTTTTTGTATTCAATTTGTAAAATGCTATCTTTTTATGATCGAAGAATTTTATTCTAATGACAATCGATAGAAAAAATAAGCAATAGTGAAGGTTCTTGAAGAGCCAGTTTAGACGAATTTTAAGAACGAAATGTTACTCCCTTTCAACCTTATTCATTCTATGTAATTAATGCACACAAATTTTAATCACTCAATCGTGTTTTTACATAGCGTATAATTAAATCTACCAACTGAAACATAAATCTCTGTAAAATTTTTAAATTTGGGTCCCTGTATAAATAAAGCCTCTTTGGCTTTTAACTTCTCATCGATCTTTCTTGTTCTGTACTCGCAGAAGTGGTTCTCCATCATTGAAAAAAAAAAAACAATGCGAAACGAGCTTTCAAGTTTTAATACATGGTGAATACATTACTTGCTCAAACCTTAGAGGGAAACGAGGACTCTCGTACATCAAGCTATACACATTTTTACTGTTAATGTTTGTTAATTTCATCCTAACTATCCTAGCGCCAAGCAACGGATCACACCTACGTAAATTGTCATTCGATTTATCCTATGTATATATGTATATCTATATATATTTATATATATTTCGGTATGTATAATCGTAATGTGCGACTACGCGATGAAATCGCATGTCCTTGAAATCCGTTAAACCATTGCTAAAAAAATCCAATCATTCCTTTGTCGTACAACATGATTGTTGTACAATTGTAAGTTCGTGTTTAAAGATGTTCTTCATTTGGTAACATACATTGTATTATACATTGTTTCTCATCAAAGCGAAAATTATCGTTAACAGCATACAAACACGGTAATCGGTCACCAGTCACCAACGATAAGGACGGCCATGCGAAAATTCAAGATGTACCTTGAAGAAAACATTCTTCTGCGCAATTCCTTGTGTCCTTGTCTTACTGCATTCTTTTCGGATTTCACTGGCCGCGTTTCATAAAATAATATCGATAACTTCGGTTGTGTACTGTACAAATTCAACACGATTGCCATCATCAGTCCCAAGATCATAATTACGGTGGGATCACATGATTATACAGGGAAAGTTAAGCAAGTACGATAATTTCAAATGAAGAGCTTGAATTTCATCAATCACAGTACATGTAGAAGAGGCATTTCCGTTAAGTATATGTATAGAAATAAAATAAAATAAAACATTTTATTATAATCTACGTATCTCTTATATATCGTAAAAATGAACATCAAAATTCGATATTTTTTGTTTTGTCACAATAATTATAAATTTTAATTTGCATTAAATGCCAAAATATATCAGATAATTTAAAATTATTAAAGTAGTCTCTTTTCAAGATTTATCGATTTACGAACTCTTAACAAAAATAAACATAACTAAATTTAAATGACCTACTTTAAGTAACTTTTTTCCTCTTTTACCCAGAATAAATGTATTCTTCTCTAATGAAACACAATTAATAATAAATGTCCTTTTCATATGCATCTCCACCAGTTTCGTTCGAGATACTTTATAATTGATCATACTCTTTTTGACGAAATGATCTTAAATTGACAAACACAGCGAAACAGAACATTCATTTGGAAGCATAAACAGATTTCAACGATACAAACATTTGTGATGTTGAATATTCTGTGATCGTACTGTTTCGCTTTTTTCATTATAAAATAGAAGACAATTTATCGGCAGAGAGCTTAATAATCAGTCAATAGCTCGAAGTAAAGAAGGTCGCGCAGAACTTAACATCGTATTTCCTTTACCATGATTATTTTATGTTTACCGAAATGTCAGTCATAATATAGAAACTAGTCTTCCTTTTTCGTAATTGTACAATATGTATACGATATATGCTTCACAGCAATATAAAGAAATGTGCAATAAATTAAAATGAACGAAAATATATACCACAATTGTTGAATGCCTCGGTCATTGTTCGAAATCCGACAGTGTATATGTCTTTTTGCAATAATTCGATTGCAAATGATATATTTCTTCATAATAATAAGTTTATTATTCAATATAGTTAAAATTTATAATTATTATGAGTTCACTATATATTACTACAAGTTCGATTTCTTTTTGCCAGTTTATTTATTGTAATTGGATAAAGTATGCACTGTCTTATTCCGAATCATATTAATTATTTTACCAAGAATCTGGCGACCAACTCTTAATTATACTAACAATATATGTATTTCTGCATTCATTGAATTTGTACAAAGATTCAGTTCCTTAAACACACGTTCCGGCGTATGTGTTATGAGTATTTTTTCATCGAGACAATAATAATGATTATTATACTTTCCTGAACACTAATTAAGCACAAGGAGAGATCACAGAGAAAAAGCCTGCTATAAATAAATTTCGAATAATCAATTTAATGCAAAAGAAATTTTAATGAAAATTTCAATATTCATTATAGTATAACAATGGGCCTGCCCTTTTTTAAAGTACATTATGAGTAGGTCCCATGACTCTTGGGATATTTGATAAATTAAGTGACAAGTAGTATAAAGGATAATATAACGATGACCGTGTAAAATAATAAAGTACTACGAAATTTTAATTTAAGATAGCATTACTAAATGAAAAACATGATTTAACAAATTTATAAATACACAAGTAGGCAGCCATCATCGAGAGTGTTACAATTAGAAGCATATCCAACTGCTGCAAATATTGGAATTTGGTGGAATGTAGCAAGTTCTTTCTTCTCCAATTGTCCCAATATTATATATCTCCTTTGCTGTATGAAATTAGTCATAATCACGTTAACGTAAATGATAATTATAGCAAATATATAATAAAAATTGTAAAATTATCAACAACTAAAAAAGTTAAAATTTCTAAATTATATTTTATAAGATACATTTTTAATAATTTTGCACTTTATAATAGTGAAATATTAAATAAGTTTATACTGTACGGTTTTAGTGATAATACACTTACGCGAAAATAAAACAATGTATATAACGTGAAAGAACCTGACCATTGCCGGTCGTTGCCTCTTGTCACACTCTCGACATGTAATTACATCAGGATGGTAGATGTAGAGTTGAAGAATTTAAAGATAAAATGATAAAAAACATGATCACTTTTTGATTTGCAGCCATGGATGCTTCAGGCACTCTGCTGCTGTAGCTCGCATACTCGGGTCAAACTCGAGCATCGGAGTTAGGAACTCTTCAAACTCGCGCGCTTCTCTTGGCGACCAATCATATTTTTCTGTAAGCACCTCGTACAGTCCCCAAGGTTTTAATCCAGTAATTCGTTTTAATCCACCTTTCTTATTGAAGTACTTATATGAGTTTTTGCCAGAAAGAGCAATATGTCTTGGTATTTCTCCAAGTAATTCAATAATGTGTGCTAAATGATCTTCATCTCTGCAATAAAAAACAAAGTGAATATTATTATATTATAAATATAAATAAATTTTTCCAAAAACCTAAATGTGTATGGTGACCTAAATGGTGAAATAAATTATATTATATATTATAAATAAATTTTCTTAACCCCTTGCCCTATGATTTAAATTCCGATGGCACATGCCATAATCAATAGTAGAGTTGGTCACACGTTGTGCCATTTCGTCCGAACATGGTGAAGAATAACACGTAACTGAGACAGGAAGACATCGGTGAAAACTAACCACGAGCCTGACCCGTGTTGTTTATGTTAGGCCCCATCTACAAACCACGTCTCTCACCTATGACGCTCCTGTTTGACCCGATTTTCTTACCATGAGTCTCATACGATATTGTAGGCGAAAGGGTTAAATAATTGCAAAAAGAAATACATAATACTTTACCTGCAATAATAATTGCCACTATGTGGCTCAAAGAGATAATCACCAGTCGCTAATTCAAATGCCATACAGGCAGTGGACCATATATCTGCAGATGTATCATATCCAGATCCTAATAACACTTCTAATGATCTGTATTGACGAGTTTGAATATCATCTGTAAATTTTTTGTAAACCCAACATGCATTACCCAAGTCTGCAATTTTGACTTCAACATCACATTCTACTAGGGCAGGATCTAGAGGAGCTACAGATGCTCGTTTTAATTGTTTACTTTCAGGAGGATGTAAATTACGACCTATAAAAAATAATAAATATGGAATCAATAATTATTTATACAGGTTTGTCCCATTATAAGTGGTTCACTCGGAGGACAAGAGTCAGTTATAATGAAACTGTCTTCTGTTCTTTACTATGATGAGTGCAGCAAACTACGAGTGAAAGAGAGGACTCATTTACTCGTAGCTTATCGCGCTCTTCACGGTAGCTACAAAGATAGAGGAGGGTATAGCAAGATGACTTATAACGAGACACGAAAAATGATTTATAACGAGATAAAACTGTATATATCAAATTTGATTTTTGTAAATTTTACCTTCGCTACATTCATCTGTATCTTCATGATCAGGTGAATGAACTCCTTCACCACAATTTTTTTCTACATCACATGAATTTGCATTTTCCATTTTTTCAGATTGTTGAGATAATTGATTTTCTACTTTTTCCTCACCTGCTAAACTATCTACACCATTTATGTGCAATGAAGGTGCAGATGGTTCTGAAATATCAGGTGAACCTTTGCTTTCAGTATTATCTTCTATACTTTCTGTGTTTATATCTTGATCTGGACTATTTGTTTCTAATTCACCATTTGCTCTTGTGCTATTTGCAAGTTTATCTTGCTCCTCAAGTTCTTCTATTTGTTCCATTTGTTTCTTTAATAGCTCATTCTGACGCTTAGCTTTCTTTTTAAGCTTCTTTTTTTTATTTTTTGACATTTTAGAATTGGGAGTAGGTTCTTGAAATTCCTTTGGTGCAGTTGAAATTAAAGATACTGGCAATTTCATTCCAAGTGAATGCAATTCTGTAGCTTCACAAGCCAATTTTCTTATATAAGCTTCATCAACACAAACAAGGACATTTTCAGGTTTAATATCTGTATGAATAATTTTACCTAAAAAAAATATTTTATGCTAGTAATTCATTACTCTGGTAACAATATTAAATGTTCCAAATTTATATTATATTAGAGTAACTTATTAACACAAATTTATAGCATATAGTCTAATAACAATAAATATCAAATTAGTTTTTATTAAAAAAAAATCTTACATTTATTGTGTAGATAATCAAGACCTTCAAGAACTTGTCTGATAATACGTTTAACATTATTTCTTGGAATTCCTCTATAGTTGGATTTGATGATCAATTTAAGAAGATTATGCCCAAGCACTTCAAATACCATGCAAACATGCAGACCATTAATGCCACTGATCTTGAAGTCATTGAGTAACTGGACGGTTTTATTACGCTTAGGATCACTAGGATCCGTATCACGCACGTCTTTTAATAATTTAATTTCATCCAATGCAGTTTCGGTAAAATGAGATGCAGATTTGACAACTTTCAATGCCACAAATCGTTTATCCTGCAGAACACATTTGAAAACATTCTGCTTATAAATTTATTATACAAAAAAATATTTTTTGTTATGAATCAAATACATACTTGTAAATCCCAACAGAGCCAGACTGTTGAAAAATGACCCCAACCAAGTTTACGAGTTACATGATAGCGATTTAAGAATAAATCTCCTATTTTAACAGGATGATATCCTCCTTTGCAATAATCACTGCTGTCTTCTTGTTCTTCTTCCTCACTACTGTATACTTCATCACCATCTTCCATTGTTTCATTACTTGAGCTATGACATGGTTCCAATCTGTAAGTTTCAGTTAGGAAAAGGTAGGGGGCAAATACAAATCAGAAAATAAAAGACTATAAATTGTTTTTAAAAATTTTCATGGGGCTTGTAAGAACAGACAAAGACAATTTCTAAGTTAAATTATTCTATAACACAACAACATTAGTTAAAAACATATTCAAACAGTTATTACTTTTCATTAAAGTATATAATGATAAGATTTGCTATTGTTGCAATGTAAAAAAAAGCTTGATAGGAAGTTCAATACAGATGGATTCTACATCGAAGAAATTTACAAAAAAAATTATAAATTGGTAGTAAAAAGAATATCAGTATAATAAAATAAAATGATATATTAATGATACTCAGATACCTGTTTCCATTGTCACTGAAATATGGTCTCTGTGCAGAAGCATCCTGATAAAAACCCGATCCTTGTCCTTGTTGAGTAGTCGATGCCTTCGAACATTGAGCTCCTGATGTTTCTGATTCATCTTGAGTATTTCCCTTTCCTTTTCGTTTGCTTGGCTTGTGCCTTTTTTTTTTGGCCTGAATCGCTAGGACCCGCCTGTTCACGTCTGTCTTTGCACTCATATCGTTCCCTGCGCCTCGATTCGTCGGGCCGCTTTCCTCTCTTTCTTTACACTTCCCACACTTCCGTCTTCACTTCCTTTTGTAATTCTTTTCTGTACGTTTCAATGGAGGCACTTACACCCGTTACCGTCTTCCCGGGTTTACGAACGATATAATGCGCTTTATTATCGTTTCATTTCTGCGCTGTGCCGCGCACTTCGCTCGGCGGTTGTTTGAGTATGGCCGCCCCCGCCGTCACCGTGTCTTCGTCTCTCGTTTCGAGAAAAGCAGGTGTCGTTCTACAGGTCGTCGACGTTGTCGTATTTACTAATGCACTTCAACTTTTTATCCAAATCGCTTGTTACGTCGACAACACACTCGCAAATATAAATTCCTTCCTTTCCGGTCCACTCACGATCTCCTACTTCTACCTTCGTTAATACTTAGTACTCAATAGTTCGGTATCCTTTTCTATGCCGTGGTAGCAGACGAGGCTCAAATTCGACTAAAGCCTTCAAATAATTATTTTATAGTTTCTTATTCTTCTGATACCTTAAAGTCTTTAGTTCATTCTTCATTAAAATATTGAGAAATATTTTATATTTAGCTTAAGGTTTCTTTTGGTGAAATTTGAAAATCCTTTGATTGAAACGTTTTAATGAATAATGTATCAATTGCTCACAACCAATCAGAAAAGATTCTTAGTATCAATTAATATAATTATATAACGTATCAAATATAAATGATGTACAGAAATATATTGCTAAAAACACTATATGTAATATATTTAAATTAATAATCTATATTTTATTTTAAAACTGATTGATAATGTTACCAATATCTATAAATTTGTTTACTATACCAAATCAATATTTTATGTAAAAGAATATTTTTAAAATAATTTCATTTTTATAAAAAGAAAACTAGATAACTATTAATAATACACATATACAATACATTTTGAACAAGAAACATTTGGTTATAATCATACGACAACTATAGAGTTTGTTACAAGATGGCAATACCATATATGTGAATCATAATATCTAAAAGTACCGCTAACTGTGTATGACACATTTCTGGTTATAACCAAAAAATATTTTTGTGGGTGACGTTTGATCACAGAATCTTTTTAGATTATTCGACGTATGATTTGGTTGTTACTTAATATTTGTATGCTTTATGCACTACGTTAAAAGTGTTAATAAAATGGACACCATATTTCACGAAAAGGTAAATAATAATATATGTAAGTATCTAATGGCTTGTTGAATATATATCATTTTAATGAGAAAGTTTATTACAGCAAGAAGGATTTTTATGTGCACAACATTGTTTAAACGCACTTTTACAAGGACCATATTACAATGCTGTAGATCTTGCCAGTTTGGGTCACCAAATGGATGAAGAAGAGAGGATAAGAATGGCAGAATCTGGTGTTGACAGTGAAGATTATAAACTTTTTTTAGAGGTGAATCTGTGCATTTTAGCTATTTCATATCATTTCTTGTAGTATATTGTATAATACAAAAACAAATTATAACTTTTGATATATTTTATCATATACATAAATTTATTTCATTTGAAATATTAATATGTACTAATAATATTATATGTGGTAAAGGGCATTAATTATTTTGCTTAGCAACCATCAGGAAACATGGATGACAGTGGATACTTCTCAGTTCAAGTAATTAGTAGTGCATTAAAAGTTTGGGGATTAGAATTAATTCCATATAATAGTACGGAATCTGCAGCTATATTGGCACAGAATGACCCTTTGTATGTTATTTAACTTTACCTAGTTCATTTAAAATATTTTAAAGATATTTATAAAATGTAGTAGTAGTAGTTATTTTGTGTTACTATAAATCAAAAAATTAATATATTATGTAACAACAATAAAAAAAATGACAATATTTTTCTATGTACTAATTATCATATACTAAACTTTAATTACATTTTGTAATATATATGATTTTAAAGCAGATATAATTTTCAGACAGATGAAAGCATATATTTGTAACTACAAAGGTCATTGGTTTACTATAAGAAAAATTGGAAGGCAATGGTTTAATTTAAATTCAGTACTAAGTGGACCAGAACTTATATCAGATACTTATCTTTCAATGTATTTAGCCCAGTTGTTGCAAGAAGGTAACATCAAAATAAAATGTAATAGAACACAAAATTATAGATACAGAATTATATATCTTTATAGGTTATTCTATTTTTGTTGTTATTGGTGTACTTCCACAATGTCCAGCAGACGATATTCTTACGAAAAATCCAATAGAACCTGCGTTAAAAGGACAAACATCATTAAGAACAAAAACAAAAGGTTGTTGTCTGGATGTTAAGGAATAAAATGAATTTCTAAATACTGCTCTCACTCTGAAAGGAGTTATATTATTTTATATATACACAATTGCATATTTTCTTTTATTATATTGAGAATGTTTGATTTTACAGGTATAAGTAATAATGTGATAACAAATACAATTACTAGAGTATTATCTAACAAAGAAAAAATATCAACAAGCAAACTACAGGAGAAGATAATACCCATCAAAATTGAAAAGAACGATGAAGACGATGATGAAAATGCAGAATTACAAAGAGCACTTCAATTAAGTTTCGAAGAGAATAAAAGAAATGATGTAGATAAATATCTTAAATTAAGTTTGGATTTTCACGATTATAATAAAAAAACATGTGGAACTGATGACATGGATGAGGATGATGATTTAAGAAGAGCTCTTCAGTTAAGTTTAGAGTGTGCTACTGCACCATCAACACCAGAATCTGAAGATTTACACTGGCATCAATTAAACCACTTCGGTTCATACTCCAGGACGTCAAATGGAGAAACTTCACAAAAACTGAATATTTAATAATATGTGCAAAAATATTTTTAATATTATTATTAAAATAAATTTTATTTGTAAATTATAAAAAACTAGTTACTTATGTAGTATGATTAAGTATTTGAAAAATAAATGTATAAAATAAAAGATCTGTACATGTTATAAGTTTTAACTGACTGCATTATCACTTTACTTTACCAAAATTTATTGTTATTAACTTATTATTATTAAAACAAACACTTCTTTTTTTATTTGCAATTTAAACACGAAACACTTGTTTTTTGATAATTTTAACAAAATATTAAAATTGACAGTTTTTTGAACGCACTTTTATATCATTGGTTTAAATTTTTTCTGGACATAACTCAAAAACGTTATGTTGAGAACACACTTTCATTTTCATGTGTATTCTATTTCTATAATCAAGCAATTATTTATTCTTTATCAGATTTATTAGCTTTTAAATATAGATTTATAGTTTTCTATGTTTAATAGGGCAAACGATTAATTGTTTCTGAAGCAATATTACCAGATGGCTATGAACCCAAATTTTTAACTGTAGTCACTCTGTAGTTGCTCCTGTTTTGTATGTGAATACTGAATGTTGACATTCAACATGGCGGCATGTCGTCAGTGCTGTGCTGTGTCGTGGTGAGTTTTATAAATCTTTTTAAAGCTATTCGATTACGAGCTTTGCAATGAAACGTTTATAATTAGCAGAATTATTTGCTTCCTGACAATTGTATTTATATTTTATAAGTATGCGGAGCTTTAATAAATCTCTATGATATCCACAGAAACGAGTGACCTCATAAAAAATTAGAATCTCGTAACTGGCGAGCACGTACAATATTTCAGATTTTTGTTTGGACACATATTTTAACTATTATTGTTATTTTAAATTCAGAGTTTCCTGTGTACAATTTTGTTGTACAAAATGTGTGTTTATTTACTTTTAGAGAAACTTGTAATGCTTATATTGTTAATATATTTCAAACATTTTCATGTGGGTGTCCAAGTATTGTATCCCATTTACAACAAAGTCCGAGAATTATGATTTAAATGATAAATTTACGATAACCATATTTTGACTGCTTGCATAATATCGATAAATGAGACTTGGAATATAAATAAAATTTCGGGAAATAAATAAAAAACATTGAAAAAACAATACCAGTTGCAGCATAAAAAGTCAATGTCAAACTGGCAGTCAATTATTGTGAATATCTCATTTATCTCACATATAAACACAAACAGAACACAATAAATATATTCTGGGCTATTATATATATTTAAATATTAATACAATGTGATATGAAAAATTATAATAACCTATGTGTACAAATGAGATATTATATATGGTAAAAAACATCTTTTTTTCCTGATTTATTTGAAATAATATTTTTAATTTGAATGGTATACAAATGTATACAAATTAGAATAATTAAATAAATATATTTCAAATATGATATTTAGAAAATATCTTATAATTTTAAATATAATAATATTTCACTTACTTTTTTATTTTATTAAAGAATTTTTTTAAATATTATTTCCACAGATATTTTCTAAATATTAGAAAAGAAGATATTAATTTATCACATTGTCATTATTATTAAAATTCTTTTTTAGTAAAGCTCATAATCATTCTAATGATATATTATTATTTCATCTATGTTTAAATATATTAATGAGACAAATGTTTTTTTATTTCAGCTTGTGTAATTGTTAGTTTAGGACATTTTTGAAACCAAGGCTCACTGTAAATTCCACAATTAAATGCTGAAGAAAGAAACACTAACATAGAAATATTGGAACAACACAATCACACTCAGCACGCATTGAAGACATCTGAGGATTTTCAAGTCAACATTTATCTTTTAAATCTCCTATGTTTTTTGATTTACTCCTTTTATAAAGGATGACTGCTGTTTAAAAGGAACACAGTTATTCTAGTGTACGCTAAATTGAGTAAATATCAAACAGTTGTTAAACACGTGCATACGTATGTGGAAAGTATCAATGGTCTATGATGTGCTAAGAATTTTGTACTTGTATTAATTCGTAAATCAACATTAACTATATTGTTCATTTGTATATTGTGTACACAAGCTTTGTGAGAAAGAGTTAGGTGAGCTATTAAGTGACCGTGATTGTGATTGCGGCTGAGATTGTGCTGCTCTTGACTAATAAAACACTTGTATCTGTATTTAAAGAGTGCCAATTTTGCACAGAGTTGCCTGGGTACTCTCTTATAAATAATTTATGACAAACGTCAAAATACTTTCAAACCCTTCCTTCCACTTCTTGGTCACAAAGGAGCCTGCATTTCTGCAGCATTTTAAAGAGCCTCTCTTCCTCTGTATTAAGTTCTTGTAACATTATAATAGTGAATGAAGATATAAGGTACCAAGAACCGTTCTGTGATATCTATGTTAACACTTAAATAATTGAAAAGACTAAAAATTTCTAAATATAAGTATATATATACACATATATATATATA